TGGACATCGTTCCGGAGAGCTAACAGCTGGCTGCCGTAAAAGGGAGTCATATTATGCCTAACAAGTGACTACATTGAATGAAAGGGAATTCCTCACCTTCAGTGCTTTAGGGTGAAGGTTATCCACTCCGTGTGTTCGCAAGAATAGTAGCTTTTTCAGAACCATTTTGTTGTGAATTTGATGCTGGATAACACTTATGGTGTGGTGACAGAAACAAGTATAATGTTTGAGGCTAGTACCCCTTGGAAAATACGCCAGTACTGGACCCTTGAGGCGTTGGCCGCCTATTTTTGTCCGTGTGTATACCCACCAATCGTACTTTGGTGGGATACCACGCTGCAACTTTCGTTGTAGATTCGCATGTCTGTAACGAAGCTTGTGGTTAGAACGGAATCGTTTCGCTAACCCCTGTTGGTGTGATAACTTGTCTTCATGAACCAACTGTACATATTAATGGCTCAGAGCTGCTACGCTGTTTCAGTTACAGTTTCACGGCAGCCAGCTGTTAGCTCTCCGGAACGATGTCCATCCGTTACTGGGGACTCAGCGGACGTGCCACGGTTTGTTTTCCTTTCCTTGTCTTTTGGATTGCGGCACAATAGCTGAGGTGTGTTCCACCTCCAGCTAACGTATAATGATGATGATGATGGTCAAGGGATACGTTGTCCACATTCGCCATAGACACGCCTATCTCTACAAAACTGGGGCATACGACCTGCAGACAAGTCCTCAGGAACTTAACCTCGGCGTGCTGGTGCAGCACGGCTTCGGTTATTGCAGACATTCGGAATCCGTATCGAAAGTGGTAACCAGCACGTTGTTAGCTTGCGGATGGCATTCGAAATTTTGGATTCATTCATCTAATCTATAATGCTCAATGCTTACGTGCGTTCCCACGTCAAATACGCAATCCAGGCTTGGCACGCTTGGCTAAAGCGTGACCTGGCAGCGCTCGAAACTCCCCATGGTCGAGCAACAAAATGTGTCAAGAGATTGTGCAACCTTTCGTACCAGCAGCGACTAAAAACACTCGGAGTGTTCAGTGGACACTACAGGTGGCTAAGTGGAGACCTCATATTAGTGTACCAGATACGGAACGACCACTTACGCATGTCGCCACCTACTGCAACTCATCCCGAACACCAACAGAGGCAATAGCCTGAAACTGAGTCAACAACATAGTCGGCTTTTCATTAAGGCTGGACGAACCTCAGCTCATAATGACCCAGTGATTCCGCTATAAGTAACCTTCGAACGTTTCGGTGCCTACGCTGTTTATGTGCTAAGTGACAGCCTGGACGTTAAGAATGCTATCCGACCGCACGCATTATTAACACCATTTGCCAGTGGACCAATTTAGTCCTTAACATATTTGTGAAAGAGGCTAAGTATATTAACAGAAAAGTATTGGAACGATCATCTATGCTAGGGAAGGATACGTTCAAAATGACCGCCGGCGTTCTGTGTGCAGTGCAGAAACCGCTCAATGCAGTTGGCGAGCATTTTCTCCAATGTACCCCTCGTGATCGCGCGACATTCGTTCACAATACTTTCTTTGAACTCGTCCAATGTACGCGGCCTTATTTTGTACATTCGCCACTTTAGAAAGCCCCATAGAAAAAATCCATGGGGTTCAAATCTGGTGAGCGAGCTGGCCATTCCATTGGTCCACGGCGTCCGATGCAATGGTGATCGAATTTGTCGTTGAGGTAAGCATGCATTGTCTTAAGAAAATGTGCAGGTGCACCATCCTGCTGCCACCAAGTGGTACTGCATGCCCCTTCAGCCTCCGGTTGTGAAAACACAAATGTCTGCAGCATTTCCATGTACGACGATGCTAGGAAACGATAAGGAGTTAGTACTTCAAAACAACAACCTACTGGTCACAGTCCCGGAAAAGAAATATGGGCCCAAGATTTTTTGCCTTATTAATCCAACCCAAACCATCAGTTTCACACTGTGGTGCATACGTGATGCGGTATATTTCCGTGGGTTGCTGGTAGCCCAAGAGTGATGTTTCATTGTTCCATGCAGATGAAACAGTGCCTAATCTGTAAACATGACAGAACGAAGATCCCCCTGATCCAGAAACCAACGGCAAAATTTATGCCGCTTCTCCGGATCGCAGGGGTTCAAAAGCTGCACTTGAAGTGCACGGGATCTTCGAAATTTTCGTTCCTGTAATATCCGGTGTACTGCATATCGCGTCCTGTCACAGTGCTATGCGATCCGACGAATGCTTAGATCGGGACTTTTTGTCACTTCACTGACTACAGCGTAAGCTGAACAGTCATCCGTGGCGATGCGAGGCGGTCCGGTTCTCTTCATGTCACACACACCAAGTTTGCTGGAACTTCTTCACTAGTTTAAGCACGTACTGGGCGGTGACGGGATGTATTCCTGCGTTCATTGCATTGTATCTTCGTGAAGACGATGCGAGGTTTTAACCGCATTCACCGTACAGCCGAATAAGCAGCACGCACTGAGTAACAGGCACGTCACGTGATCCGGACTGCATTGTCTGCTCGTGTTCCATTACCTGTGGCAGTGATTCAATGACATTGACAAGAGTTGCAATGCCTAACCTCGTCCTCAGCTGAGATGCCATCACGTGCGCCGCAGTTTTGGTTGCCCATGCCGACTTCGCTGCGTAGCCAGCGAGACACATAGATAACCATCGATCGCTCCAACGCCTACGGTTGGCCATGACCTTCAGCACTCAGTGCGAAGTTAGCTGGCAGCTAACGGACGTCGGAAGTAATAGGCGGAGTTCCTTCCGAATTTTGGTGAGAGGGCAGATCTTTAGAGGCAGACCACTGAGCACCATTGCGCGCTCCAGCGGTTGCGGATTGGTCTGGTGGCCAACAAAACTGTGAAGCAAAATGTTAAGCCCATCATTCCAACCGTCGTAGCTGATTTGTGATCAGTGAATCATCCTCTTCCCTCTGTTTCCTCTAGGGTGCATGACGCGCGCTGGTTCTCTTTCCATTTTTAATGCACATTCTTGTGGGTTCCAAGCCTTTGTGTTCTCCTGGGGCGTTGGCATGGTCCTCTGTCGGACCGTTTGCGTTCGGTTGTTTTAATACCTTTGTGCTACTGATTATTGGCCCACCAAAAAATCTGACCGACTACAAAACTCGTTGCTGTTGATCCATCTCGCCTTCCTTGATAGAGTCCCCGCGACCCGCCTTATGGCTCATAATTGGCATCATTAGCGTGGCTGCTGTCGTCTCCTAATTGGGCTGTATATTTAAAGTTTGGTTCTGACTTATCTGCGGAATAATGGCTAATTACGACACGGGGTCGCGAAAGGCGCGAGGAAGCTGTCAAACCGATTCCACTTTATCTTTGCACGATAACTAGCTGTTTGTGATGATATGTTGTTGACAAGGTGCCGGCGCCGTATCCTCCGTGTTTTACACTAGGCTCACCTCTTTCTGTAGTAATTCATCGTTCTCTCCGTCGTCCCAGTTGCGGGGCAGCAAAATGTTAGTTGGAATCCCTGATGTGCTACCGTTGATGTTACTGGTGACATTGCTTCAACTGCGTGATCGAAATGCACATGAATGCCACAGGTGGTGATTCTTGAATGATAGCTCTACTATTTGATGACTATGAAATAGGCTTTATTTACCCATGTGGGCGGATTTCAGCAGTAGATGTACTATCTGGATCTCTTGGAGCCTAGCTTTGCTTCTGCTGTTGCGACACCTTGCAAAGTGAAGCCTCAGCGTATTCAGAGGACATGACTAAAAGGTATGAGGATATTAGCGGAACTGCTTAGTCGAACTGATGCATAATGTTTTTCTAAATGATGGGATCACATAGTTATTTAGTGACTCCCTGCTGGAATGTATTCGAAGTTGCTAGCGTTTGTTAATTACTTTTCCCTGCTCATCTATTTCTTTTACCCTTCTGTTCCCTTGTGTATTTTTTAACTTTTGTTTCAATCCATGTCATGGGTACCGAGCCCTCTGCGCTTTCGTCCACAGTTCTAGTTCATCTGTTTGCTAACAGGAAAACCAAAAGATGTAACTTGTGAAATGATGTCGCCATTTCGTGGCGACGGAATCAGTTGAATCGGGAAGCCGAACTGCCTCGGCAATCATAAAGCACTTGCATTGCATCAGGCAAATTAAATACCTCGACGACCGTCCTCCATGGCTGAGTGGCTTAATCTGCTTGGATAGTTTGTATCAGCCTCTGGCGGTCATGGGTTCGGTCCCCAGTATGGGACCAAAGGACGCGCACTACTGACGAGCCCCAATAGGGTGAAGCGTCCTCTGGTGCTTTTCAGCATAGGGGATTGTACTATATAGCTTGTGAGCTGCTGGGACGAATACATTACAATTTCAATCCTGAGGAGACCTTCACAGTCCAAATGCGCGATCGGAGACCCTACATGCTTAGGCTACTAGAGGCCATCGTTGTCGACCCCAAACGCCCCATGCTGTGCATCCAAAAATAGCTAACTGTTGCTTTAAGCCTATCATAGTAGCGCAAACGCTTGACTATTTACGATCTCTTTCGACATTGTGTTTATATTTTACCTATCATGGTCGCTTGTTTTGTGATTGATAAGAATGCACGGAATAGCGACTTTATCTCTCAAACTACCTTTTCTGATTCCACTGTTTGTAATTATAGAGGGAACTTCTTGTTTCAGTAATTTGCACTAAGCACTCTCGTGGCTTCGTCTCATTTTCTTTCGAGGTCACATTCTACCCAGGCTCATAAAGAAAAAGGATTTTCTTACCTGAACCTGTTCTTCACTGCGAACATTCCGTGAGAGTTTGTCGCTCTCTGAGGATCCGTTTTATGCTATCTTGCCCACTTCTTGCGAACTGTATCGTCACTAGCTAATCTTGATCCTTTTCGTTTCCTAGTTCGGTTCACATGGACAAATGCAGTTTCCTCCATCGTATTGCTTACAGTTTCAACTCCCATCCGTCCTTATTAGAAATTTCTTTCGTTTTGTTTCCTTTTTTACATTCCTTCAGTTTTTTAAAAACCAAGTTAGCCGAATTAGAAGGTGGGCTTTTTGACAGTCATCTAAAAACGCTCCACGAAAGACTCCGGATCCTACCACTTGCTGGTATTGAAGTCGACTCCAGCGGTTTACCTCGTCACTCTTCCCTTCCTGCAGAAGACGGTTCTACAGAAGCCTCCAGTAGGGAAATATGCCCACCCGTAACCGATGCGGACCTCGGGATGGACACTAACTCGAACGGGACGGATTCTCGCCTCGAGGAGTTCTTGTCAGTCTGGGAGGAAATGGACACCATGTACCATGTTCCGGATTCCACTTGGATATGCCCCCATCGATCGGGGCCCAAAGCTCTGCATGGTTCTTCATCAGCCGGATTAAACGCCTCCAATCGCTTGACCACTCTACTCGCTGAGGCGTCATCAACCTTTCGCTCTGCATCCGGCTCAAAAACTTCCATGACATTAGCCAGTCGACCTGGTTCCCTGCTACGTAGGAGTGTCGCCGATTCACAACATGCGACCACTGCAACTACCAGAGCAGCCGTAGCTACTAGGCTGCGCTATTTCGCCACCGGTGCTTGCAGGGCTAGGGGCAGAAGAGGTCGACCGAGAGGACGAGTCAGCTTGGAGCGAACCTCACTTTTGCATCTACGTAGAAGTGAGTGTCATCATTATAACTTAATAATATCAACAGGCCCCGTTGTATCACCAGTTTCGATTTCCATTTGCTTTTTGGCAATCCATCTTTGTGCACTGTTTCATTTTTGCCTTATGAATACTGAAAACTGAAATTAAAGAGCGAGATATAAATCTGTGTTGCTCCGCCGTAGTTAGATCGGGCACCTTCACGGAACCACGTCGCTGATCCTGCCTGGTGGCAGCATATTGCAGCTGCACCACACCTTATCCGGGTGCGAAACGCTCCCTATACCTCTAATCCGCTAAGTGGGCGTCAAGAAATCTCTTAAATTCGGACACCGATTTCGCCCTACTATTGTCTCCGACCACATTTTCCAATCTTTCAGCACTCGACGCTCGAAGCATCCAGGGTGTTATGCCCTTTAAATTCGGTACCACTAATTTGTACCGGTGTCCGCGTGTGCTGCATGGTGCACGAAAGTGCATCAGCTACCTCAGCATGGCGAATTGGCACAGGTGCAATATCCGGTGCGTCATTATGAGATAAACTCGAAGCCGACGATATGACAGGGCATGCAGTCATGGTCTCCCACATCGGCCCTCATACGATACACCCCGTAAACTTGGATTAGCCGAGTGGCTACATGCTGGACACGTTCCAGTCTCTGCACCTCAACTATTATGTTCAGGCAATAGACGGGTGAGCCGTACTCAAGCACCGGTCTTATCATGAAAGTGAACAGACTGGTGGCAATCTCTTCTGACCAAGTGCAGAAACTGCGTCTAAGTGCACAAAGCAGGCGTAGTCCGTTTACGTACAGTCTGTTTGTGTTGTCGACAGACTTCAGGTCACAGCGTGAAAGTACGCCTAGATCCTTTTCGGGACTGGTGGGATGCAGCGGGTGGCCAGCTAGGGTGTGTGCACACCCATTACTAACCCTCCCCGGGCTGATAAACGAGGAGTTGGGTAGGTTGACCTAGTAGGTCAGTTACTGCAAACCACCGGGATATACGGTAGATGTCCTGCTAAAGGACGTCACAATCGCCGGGAGAATCAGTAATCCTCCAAATCTTCAGATCATCTGCAATTAATGTGCAGGGCGACCGAAGAAGCTGAGTTACTTCGTTTATGTGGATCAGGAACAAACTGGGCCCCAGTCTTGTACCTTAGGGTATTCCGACCGTGGACGGATGCCATTTCGTTAGGCGGTCATTCACCTGTACCCGCCACTGATCCACTGGTTTAGTGCGCCACCAACACCACACATTCTCAGCTTGTGGAGAAGGGCCTCATGGTTCACTTTATCGAACGCTCTACTACTGCTGATTTCCCCCTGTTGGACGCCTGCAACCGTCCGTGCCGCGTCAACAGCAGGTTGGTGATACAGGAGCGGCTTTTCTTGAAGCCGTGCTGTGCCGGCGTTAGATCTTTCGACTCTAATAGCTGGAGAGGACCCTTTTTCACAATCTTTTCTACCGCTTTCATCAAAACAGGTGAGACAAATAGGCCGGTAATTGTCCACCTTGTCTGGGTCACTGCCTTTTGGAATCGACTTCAGTACCGAGCATTTCCAGTCGCTCGGCAATGCACCCTCGGACAGCGATTTGTTGAACAGATCCGTCACGGCAGGCGAGATGATTGCTGATAAGGACTTTAAAGTTAGCGGGTGAAGTCCATCAGGTCCGACAGGTTTTGTGCCGTCAAGACTGGTGAATGGACTGCGGACATCTTCCACATTTCAATCTATGCCCTCGAGTTCAGTATGGTCTGCACACGTCGAGCTCGGCATTGGCCCATCCCACTTGTAAATACAGAAGCGAAGTGCTCCGCCAATGTGGACGCACGTTCGTTGCTGGAGGTCAGACTGTCTGTCAGTGCTATCTAACGTAGCTGCTTCACTTGCGGACCTCAGGCGTCGCTTCAAGTAAGCAGAAATCATCGGAGGCCCCAGCGTAAGAATGCGACACGGTTTCGAAACGCCTATGTTGGTTACAAGGGTTGCTACCCGAGCGGCGTTAGCAGTGCTGAGTCACGCCGGAAGCTGGTGAAATCATTTGTTTATCATCACACGCGTTGCTACCCGAACGGCAGCAACACGGTTAAGTCACATGGGAAGCGGATGAAATCACACCGTCAGCATGAAACAGGTTGCTACGTGACAGCGCCGCGAGCTAGCATTTTGGTATCCATTCAGGCAAGTGGCTTGAGTCAGCTCAGGAACTTACAACCGTCGATGTGAGATTGTGCCCTATGAAATGAACCATATTCTGTGCCAAATATACTTCGGTTTAGCAGGCTTCGGTGTTCTGATTTGTCCCCGGCTGAGTTGGCAGTGGCAGAGAGAAGAGGGAAGCAGCGTTACAACGGTGTCGACGCGAGTTGCAATCGAACCCAGATGTGGCAGGCAGCTTCGAGAATTGCAGCAACAGCAGCAGCAAGACAATTTTATTGAGACGTTGGCGCAGAGGCTGTGGATACAGTCAATCCCAGGTTAAGGGCAGGTGAAAGTGTCCCCTTTTCAGAAAACCTGACTCAACAGATCAGTGAATTTCATTATGATGCGGATGCTAGTGTGACATTCGCTTCCTTGCTTTACAAGTATGAAGGCATGTTTCGTGTTGATTGCGCAAATGTCCCAGAAGAGAAGAAAATTCGCCTGATGCTCCAGAAGCCGGCTGCGGCTGAACATGGAAAGTTTACAAATTTCATCTTGCCAACGATGTGCACTGACCTATCCTTTGAGGAAGTTATCTCAATCTTGTCACGAATTTTTGATGAACATATATCCTTTTCCAACATCCGGTACAAGTGTCTCACGATGGCCAAGTAAGAAGAAGATTGGGTCACCCACTCGAGTCGTGTAAATCGCGCGTGCGAACGTTCACAGTTTCATACGAAAACCGGCGACCAGTACAAGCGCCTTATTTACGTTTGCGCTCTGCAAGCAGCCAAAGATGCAGACATAGGAACAAGGATACTGGGCAAGATCGAACAGAATCCTGACATCACATTGCAGCAATTGACCGGTGAGTGCCAGAGAATGAGGAACCTGAAGCATGATACATCAATGATTCAGCAGATGTCCAATATGGATGAGCATAACCTCATCTGTGCCATCAACCGGACTCCAAAAAAGGCACCGACTCCCGTGAGTCCATCGCATTCCAAATCTCTCTCTGCTTGTTGGTTTTGCAGAGAATGGCGTTTTGCTCGGCACTGTCCACTTAAGAATCACGTTTGCAACCGTTGCAGCAGGTCATAAAGAGTCGTGTTGTTTGGCACTTGGTCCTACTTTGTCCAAAAAGAAGCGCAACAATGCCACGTCGTTCAGTCGGCCTGATGGGATCGGAACAACCACTGCGACTTTCAGGGTTAATAGCGTCAACAGGCGTAAGTACACCATGATGGAAATCAGTGACAGGAAAGTCAAGTTACAACTTGATACTGCTTCAGATATCCCTCTAATCTCCAGCGACACGTGGCGCAGGCTGGGGCAGTCAACACTCGTATAAACGACCAATACTGCACGCAATGCTTCAGGTACTACGTTAAAATTGCTTGGAGAATTGAACTGTCAAGTCATTTTCTGAGGCCAACAAATCCACACAATGTACTTTGTGACAGACCAACTGGGGTTGGATTTGCTGGGACTCGATTGGATGGACGAGTTGAACTTGCTCGACCAGTCGGTAAACAGGATATGCCAGCAGCTGCAAGTCAAGCAAACTACGTAGATGCCAACGAAGGAACATGAATTGTGCAACCAAATTGCATATCTCAAACGAAGCCATGAAGCCTGAGCGGAGCTGAACCTCAAAGCAGATGCCAGACCAGTCTTCAGACCAAGACGCCCGGTGCCGTTCGCAACTCAATCTGTAGTGGAAGCCGAGCTAAATCGTTTGCAATCCGAGGGTATAATGGAACGGGTCCACCATTCAGAATGGGCGACACCGATTGTGGCGATAAAGAAATCAAACGGTAAGATCCGCATCTGTGCTGATTTTTCCACAGGATTAAATTCTGCGCTGGAGACACATCAGTACCCATTGCCTGTACCTGAGGACATGTTCTCCAAACTAGACGATAACAAATGCTTCGCAGAACGTGACCTAGCTGACGCTTACTTGCAAGTTCCAGTTGCCGAGGAGTGTAGAACATTACTAACGGTTAATACGCACTTCAGGCCTTTCTATTACAATCGACTGCCGTTTGGGAGCGAAAACCGCACCGGCCACTTTCCAGCAGATGATCGATGCCCTGCTGAACGATATCCCCAATACCGCGGTCTGCCTGGATGATGCACGGATCACGGGCGCAAACCCGCAAGACCTGATGCACACACTGGAGAGAGTGCTTTCACGTTTGCAAGAAGCTGGATTTCGATTACGGATTGAGAAATGTGAGTTCATGTTAGGTAGTGTTAACTTCCTCGCGTTTATCACAGACCAACATGGCCGGCGCCCAGATCCCGCCAATACCGAAGCTATGATACAGATGGAGCCTCCGAAAGACGTCGCAGCGCTTCGCTCATTCCTCGGTCTCCTGAGTCATTACAGTGTTTTTTTACCAAGCCTGCATCAAACCAGAGGTCCGCTGAACCATTTGCTGACGAAAAATAACGTTTGGCAAAGGACGAGGGAATGCCAACAGTCTTTTGACGCAGTTAAGGCAGCACTCACTTCTGATCTACTTACTATTGACTCATTTGAATCCGAACTTGGAAATCATCATTGTCTCGGACGCTTCCAATTACTGTATCGGCGCCGTTGTTCCCCACCTAATCCGAACAGAAGAGAGAAGGCTATTGCACACGCGGCACGGTCGCTAACATCCGCTGAGAAGTATAGTCAGATTGAAAAGGAAGCACTCGCAATCGTTTTCGCTATGACGCGGTTCCATAAGATGCTTTATGGCAGGCGCTTCACCCTCTTGATTAATCATAGGTGGTTGCTGTCGATATTCGCCTCAAAAACGAATTCCGTTTTTTACCACGAATCAGTTACTGGGAGCCAAAGGCC